ATTGATTATTTTCATTTTATTTTCACAGATTTTAGAAGAAATTTAGATTTTCATCTCTATTCATTGTACATATACTGTTTTCTTAACTTTCTGCATTTTAAAATATCCAAAAAGAATTTAAAGTGTAAAAATAACAAAAAAAATTTCAGAGGTCAAAAATAAAAAAAACTTTAATAAAAGTTAAAAGAATTAAAATAATACAAAAAATAAATTTTTAAATTTGAAAATATATTTTTTTCATTAATGAAATTACATCTCGTTTAGAAAAATGGCTTGAGCACTTCTAATTATTTTGGACTTTCAGATTGTGACTTTTTCAAATTTGTCTTTATCTCGATTTTGACTTTATTTCGATTATGGCATTTTAACTCAATTGTGACCTCCTTACTTTTGACGATATCCCTATTTTGACTTTAGTTTTAACCATATCCCGATTGTGACGTCTCGAATATTGATTTTAACTCGATTGTGGCTTCACCAATTTTGACTTCCAATTGCGTCCTCTCGAACTTTGACTTTATTTTGATTGTGATCTTCTAATTTTAATTTCTAATTGTGTCCACCCGAATTTCGGCTTTCCATAATTGTGTCCATTGTTTATTTTGTTATCTAAATTCGTTGACTACCTGATGAAGGCGAAGAACACGAAAAGACAAAGAAGACGAAAGATTTCTGAAATGTTAAAGGATACACATTATGAAATGGTAAGTGGAATTATTGTTAGGAAATTTAAAAAATTTAAATAAATGTAGTTAAGCATTGTTTGTCGTTTCCAGATTACGAATCCTGATCCTGAACTTCTATGATTAAGAAGCATTTGGAGAGTTCGATGGAATGGACTTTAAAAATTTTCTACAAGCAAACAACATGGATTCATTCGAATTACATTGAATTAAACGCGTGCATAGCGCAGCTGCAAAAGAAAGGAATTTTAATCAATTTAAGAATGCTTCGGGAAGATGTTCTCTCCACAGTTAGCCTGGCATCAAGTTGAAAAATTCTAAATTAATTATCTTTATACAAAATTAGTTTGATGAATGATTAAATGCGACCAGAATAATAGTATTAAAAAATACAAATTGTCTCTGTAAATACTTTCGTTCTCTAATAAACACTTTTGTTTGATTTTGCATCCAATTATTTCAAGATCACAAAAACTTGTCGTTATTTTCGTTTTTTTAGATTAAATATAAATACTTCAACAAAAAAATTTGTTCGACATTTTCACGATAAAATTTATGAAGACACAAAATGACTTTGTGGATGCCTAAAAATGCAAAAATTGTTTGTTGGCCTTGCCTACTATTTTCGAATGAAATTAGTGTGTGGAATAAAAATGACTTTGACGATTTAAATAATTTGAGTAACGCTGGCAAAAGACACGAAAATCGTAAATGTCACATCCATTCTTTCGTAAAATTGAAGCAATTTGGAAATCAAAACAAAATTAATTTAACATTAGTAAATAATATAAAATAAATATTGAAATTTATGTTGTTGTTTGTTAAGTTATGGCAACGCAACACTTGGGCGAGCTGCCTAGGGGGAGATGCCTTCCGGGAGGTCTTTTAAGGAAATTTTATTTAGGCCCCTATTTAGGCGTTACAGACGTGGAGAAAACCCGGAAAATTCCACGTGGCCAGCCGGTCGGAGCGAGGCGCGAACCCACGAACGAACTCCCAGTGTTCAGGGTACGAAGATCGCTTGGTCACTGGTGGGCCATTGAAATTTATAACAAGATAGTTACGGCTAATAGATATGACATCTATTAATTTATATATATGTTTTTTATCAAAGCAAGAACTGGCATTTAGAGGGCATAGGAGTAGTAGAGGTTTGGGCCATACTGATCACAAAATTAAATTTACATTAAAATTTTTAAAATTGCAAATAAAAATATGTCGAATGGAATTATTTCAGATCACAAAATTAATTTTAATAATAAGACAAAGTTTAATATATTCTTCAAGATTTTGAGGGTAGAGACAAATTTTATAATAAAAAAAAACAACCAAATCCAGTACCGAGCAAAATCCTCATTAAGTGGAATTAACCTCTATAGCTTCATCCTCTTGACTTTTAATTAATAGAATTTAATAGCATCAATGCCACTAAAACACAAACTTCCTTGAGAAAGTTCAGAGATTTTCGACAAAAGACAGTAGTTTAATTATTAAACTTCAAAATGGTGAACAAAATCATGCCCCATACCCACATACAAAAAACCGCAGCATTTTATTCATTTCTCGACATTCCAAGGTTCCCAGTCCAGAAATGTAAAAAACTTCGTGAGTGGGGGTCATTTTTTGACGTATTGCCATTAGATTTTCAAATAAAATCACCAATCTTTTTGTATTTTGGATTCTTTATTGAAAAATAACATTTTGCTCTGAACAATTTTTTCAATTAATGTTAATTTGAAAAGTTATTAGCATTTTTAGTATTTTTGAAAAATACAGCTTCCAGTTTCCCTAAAAGAGTAATAGAAATAGAAGTTTATTGAAGATTAAAAGAGATTAACATTCTCTCTCTCTCTCTCAAATGCAATATCATTTGTTAGATCTGATATCCCCAGATTTTTCTCTGGGGAATGCTAAAAGAAAATAACGAGGTACCAACGATAGATGAAAATATGTAACATATTGATATTTGCACTTCAATTGACCCATGAAGCTTTTAGAGCATTGTGCAGAGTTTCTGAAAATGTGTTCCGAAATGCATTGAAGTCACCTCTTCACATTTGCTGAAATGAATACTACATATTTTTCTGAAAAGTTGTATTTTTTACATCAACTTATAATGGAAATTATTTTTAAGTTGTTTTTTTTATAATTAATTTATTGCGTATATAAGTATTAAATATTGATATTACCTCGGGTTTCTGGTTATATTATCATCTATATTAAATGCTTATTTCAGATAGCAACTGTTTAAATTTACCACAAACATTTTTGTCCTAAAGCAAGACAAAAACATATTTTTTCAAAAATACTAAAAATGCTAACAACTTTTTAAATTAACATTAATTGAAAAAATTGTTCAAAATAAAAATGTTATTTTTCAACAAAGAATCCCAAAATAGAAAAAATATTTAAAATAGCTCTGTCCACCCATAAGGGAGAGTGGCTTAATTTCTATGTGGTTCAAAAGGCTCGTCTAAAATAATAAACTTTATGTAAGACACTTTTTCTATTTAATGTATATTTCAGATATTTGCAATTGACAATATAAATGGACCACCTTGTATACATACCAAACAAAATATCAAGCTTCCAAAAATCTAGAATTATCAAAAAATTGACTATTTTTGAATTCAGCAGGCTGTAGAATACACACAGTTCACTGCACAGCTGCTTTGTTATGGTTTCTGTAGGGTAAATGTCACAGGAGGGGAGTTTCAATGACTGTTGGCATATAGTGTGTTAAATACAATTTCATTCAAGATAAAATATAAAATAAATTATTTTATAAGTATATATTTAACCTGTGTCCAGAAATCCAGATAACTTCCAGATTAGCTGTTCCAATACTGCATAACTTTAATTTGAAAATAAGTATTGAATTGAATTGGAACTTCTTTCTTTATCTTTACCATCATGTTAAAATTAGTTTTACTTTATGGTCATTTTTAAATATACAACAGCATATTAATAAAAATTTATGTTAATTCTTCCTATTAGTTTGATCATCATCAAATAAACTGCTAATGATTTTTTACTACTTTCTAGAGACTGCAAAAAATCTAGAATCTTGTCTGAGTTATTTCAAAATTAAGCTTAAATTTATCTTTCAATTGAAATTTTCTTGCACATTATATGAAAAGCTGTATTTTCTAACTAAATTTAAAAATATGTTTTCTTCTATAATAAAACTGCTTATTCATTAAACAATAAATTCAAATATTGTAATCCCTTTGGGAATCACCTGTACTAATATTGATAACATTAAACAAGGCAAATAAATATAATTACTTAGTAGAAATTCAGGTTTCACTGACTCTGTTATTAAAATATCAGAGTCAGTGAAACCTGATATTTTAATATCAGAGTCAGCAAAACCTAAAAAGGCATGTTAAAATAATAAATTTATAATTTGATGATTTATTAAATATTACTTCTATTATTAATTAATTCATCCTATGTATAATTAAGAAAGTAATAAGACATACCAGCAATTTAAATTATTGTACTGCAAGCAAACATTAAAACTGATAACAACAGAAAATGTTGCATGTTCTTTGGAACTTAGCATAAAGTTGTTATTGAGAACAAATCATACAGGAACACTTCTTTTGATGGAAAAAGTAATTTTTATTTTCTGTAACTTACAATGGATATGCATTTCTGAAGAGGGACTAAGAGGGGACTAAATAAGGACTAAAGAGGGGCATAAAGCATTTCTGGCTTTATGCCACTCTTCAGTCCTTATTTTATTAACACACATAATAAAATAAGAACTAGAGGGGCATAACATCTGAAATGCATATCCGTTGTAAATCATAGAAAATAACTATTTTTTCCATCAAAAGAAGTGTTCCTGTATGATTTGTTCTCAATAACAACTTTATGCTAAGCTCCAAAGAACATACAACTAATTTAGAGAACAGCAAGCAATCAAGTACTAATAACAGAAAATTATCAATGATTAAGAATTATTAATCACACGTTGAAGTGGATAAACTTCTAATTGTAATAAGCTACATTTTATAAAATTTATCTAAAATTGTTTTAATACTTGTTAATTCTGACATTAAATGACTGATAAAAATATCCATGATTATAATAAGTGTGTTCAACTATATTAGGAGATCATTGTTCAAAGCATAAAAATATCCTAAAAAGTGAATAAATAATAATTCAACATTTCATTACTAAATATTCAATTAATGTCAGTTTGAAAAAAAATAATTTTCTTGACTAGGATGATTTAAATCTAATATTCATAAACTGTCTAATAATTGTTACTAATATGATTTAAAAAATGCCCATTACAACTATTCATTTTTAATAAAATATTTATAAAATAAATATTTTCAGTTTACAGAAATATATCACATTCGTATTATACTGTATAAGCATTATAAAAGCATTTCCATTTCCTTTTGTAGTTTTAAAACATCAAAACAGTTATTTAAGGCTCACAATTATCAAAAGTCCATATTGTATTTTTTCATTTCAACCAAATATCAAAGCTAATTTTCAAGTAAGCCTGCTATCTTTCAATTGGTTATTTGTAGAGACTTTCGTGCCATTTCAATAACACCATCTCGTGTTTTATTTCCACCAATAAATCCATTAGCATGAACAAAAATGCAATTTGGAATCCCACTAACTTGACTAAGTTCTTTATCACGAAGACCCTGCCATTCTTCTTTTAATGAAACTCTAAGAAACATTAAATTCAAAATTATAATATATAAAATGAGTGTATAATGAAATTAAATTAAACAGTAATTCCATATAAAATAAATAAAATAAGTAAATTAAGATACATTTTAAAAATAAATTACCTGTTTTCAAAGGATCCAATACTAACTGGGACACACTGAACTCTCCACATTCCATTTGTATCTGTGTAAATAACAAATTTAATTGATGGAGTTATTGAAAGCTGTTCTTCAAGAGTTAGAAGATGATCTTTCCAAGGACAACCACCATTTTTTAAATCAATAATTTCTCCACTAGAATCAACCTTTGCAACAAAAATAAAATATTGAATAAAATTTGAAATTTACTAATTTCTTTTAATAGCACAATGTTTTACCTCTTCTCTGTTTTTAATTGCACTCTGAACTATTTCTCTAGCTGGCCACCAAACATTATTGTAAAATAAGACTTTGTCCACAAATTCTGAACCAACTAATTCCATTGCAGAAGGAAAAATTTTCTGAAAATAATAAATCACTACATATTATCTCATAGGACAAGGACAAGTCAATTAAATTCTACAAAGAACTATATTTAAGAAATTTAGAAAGTAACATTTTTCTACAAAATCTTCATTCTTGATCCATTACTTTTTCTATCATGCAATAAGAATAACAAAGACTTGAGAAAAGAAATTTTTCAGTTAAGCATAATACTAATTTTGGATAGAATCCTTCAATACTGGTTTGTAAACTTGAGGAGTAGATAAAGCAGATTTAAGAAATGATAATAAAAATGATTTTAATTTCAAATACACAGGAGAACACAATGTTTTAGACTTCAAAAGCCATACTTTTTGTTTATAATTAAGATAGAAAGATCTGTAATAAATCAATAGATTCTACAACTTTAATTATTTTTTCAAAGTAACTGAATGGCCTATCAATTTATAAAAAAACTAGCATCTGTCCATTGTTAAGAAATTCATTTAATTTTGCATAATATACGATTCATTGATAAATGCCATGTTTTCACATCCAAAATTATATTTCAATTCACAAAAAATAAAAAAAATAAACATGTCTCAAAGAACCAGAATATAGTTAATAACATTTTCAAAATAGTTCATTTCATCTTCAGACCACAATAAAAATCAACAAACATTTTAAAAACAATTTTTAAAATGCAAGTTCATAAAATCATCTTAAATACAACAAACAGAATGCATTAGGTTTTTTCTTTACATTAATTACATTTAAGTTCACTTTAATGTAATTAATGGAGTTCAAAGGATTTTAAAGATCTGCTGTCCCAGAATTTTGTATATTAGAACATAAAAAGACATCAAAATCACATTATATGAAATTTGCTCATCCTAAATTATTGCAAATATTTGTATGGCCAGAACTGGTAAGAGTTATTGAAAGAACCAGTAGAGAATAGATTCCAATAGAATGATGCAAGAACACATACAGCAAGCTTAAGTGTGAATGAATAAAGCTGGATAAAAAACTAGGCTAGACTTGGTCTACTTAGAGAAATTTCATTGCTACTCTGAGATATTTTGAAAATCAATTAAAAAATATCTAACATTGGTAAATAAATTTCATATAATGCATATTCTTTATTCTTTTGTGCAAAAAAATATTTTACTAAGTTTGAAAATAAGAGATAACATGACTTTTTGAAATTGAAACTACTTTGTAAAAAATTGCTAAAAACTATATACTGTAAATACTGGATATATCAGATATATCAATAATTCTCATCCTAATCTTTCAGTTAACCTCATAGTCTTATTTGCACAACCATAGTTTTTATAGACAAATGACACTTTCAACAATATTCCAATTCTTTTAAGACAAATTCCTCACAAATTAATAAGAATGGAATAGCTTTATAAATTCATCATCTTATATTTCAAAATATCCCTGTGAATTCATATTATCCTAAAATTTTCCAAATTTTATCTGTTGATAATACTGTATCTTTCTTTGACTTAAGTGAAGAACTGATGTTACCATTTCTTTAATTCATTCCAGTTCAAAATAATGCAGCCAAATTTCATCAAAGTTGTATTATAATTTTCTCTTTTTGACTAAAATAAAAATGATAAATATTTCACATTATGGAATGTTATAAGTTTTTTAATATTTATTCTGTTATTTATCAAAATCATTTTTGTCATTTTTTCTACATTATGCACATTATTATTGAAAGAACTTTTACAAGTTTCATATATTTATGCAATTTCGTAGCTGTAATGATATTTTTTTTCCCCTACTTCTTTCAGGTAGACTTCAATTATTTTCATTTTGTGAAGGTGATTGACAACCTTGTTAATCAGTTTTGTTAATAATTTTGATATCCATCATTAAATTTTTTGTGTCTTTCACAAAGACGACTTAGACAGTGACAAATATATTTTATATTATTGAAATAGTCTGTTGGTCTTTAAAATTCTCTTTTCTCAAAAGTATTGCAATAGAATATTGTTAAAATGCTAACAGATTATGAATTTTTGTTGACATCCTTTTATTTTTCTTATATTTTCTACTGATATTAATATTAATGAAAATGCTCTATCAGCAGAAAATAAAACAATTTATTAAAAGTCAAGTATTGTTTTTTTAATTCATTTAAAATGCTTATTTAATGAGTTTTTCTAAGAATTTATTACATACATCAGTATCTTGATCTTCACAGTTCCAAGGTGGATTTAAATGCTTCACTCTTGAACTCAAATTTGTTGTTATAAGATACCTATTTTAAAATTTCATACAAATCATCATTATTTTAGTTACAAAATACAGAAAATTATGAAAATAGATAACAAATTTACAATCTATATAGAATAATTCTAAAAATTACCTTCCAGGTTCATCATGAGTTGAAATACCATTATCAATAGCATCAATTTCTTCAAGAAAATGTTCATACATCCGATCAAATATAACTGAAGTCTTCTCACTATTACAGTCATCTTTAGTAATTGTTGCAATAATTTCACGACCAAAATGAAAGTAAACAAGACCAGCACTGCTAAGTTTAGTAACCCAAGGTTTATCACCACATAGACTATTCATACTTTCATTAAATGATCTAAATTAAAAATAATTATAAATAAATATTTAAGTAATGTTTTAATAAGATACAAATTATGTAAATAAAAATGTTAAAGCTTGATCTAAACCTATTTTCTTGATAAGTAGTCTTTCCTCACATTTTATAGTTTAATAATATAAAGCTGTGTGGAATGTTACATTAGAGTCTTATATGTTGTGTTATGGAATATACTAATATTCTAAAACTATTTATCAATTAAATATACATCAATTTATTCCAACCAAATTGCTATAATTCAAAAAGTACAGATTGTATGACAATCAATTCAGAGAAGCTAAATATAAAAACAGAATTTCAAATATTTACATAAAAACTAAATTATGAAAATACTTTATACATTGTTGATTTGCAAAGGATAGTTTTAAAATAAATTTTATATTTATTTAGGCACGTAAAATTTTAAAAAACTATTAATATATAAACAAACATATTTTTCTTTTATCAATTACATCATTGAAAATTTTAATTATACAAACACTTGTCTAAGATTGTTGCTTTATTTTTGAAATCTTGATTAAATTTAAAAAAAACATTACAGTAGAATCTGCTTATTGTAATGACTCTGAGATTCTCCTATACTGTTAACTATAACCATAATATTAAGGAGAGTAAGAAAATAAGATTACAAATAATGGAAATTCTGGTTTTATTGACTCTGGCATTAAAAAGACATGTTAAAACTATTTTAAAATTAATAACTTAGATTTACTAATAAGTATAATAATAATTATTATTTAATAGTAATTATATTTTAAAAACTGCATAATTGTTAATATACCACTCACCAAATAAACCATCACCAGTATGAAAGTAATGAGGAAGTTCACATTGAACTACATAATGCTAAATTGTTACACAGAGTAAGGCACAACTCAAGTACCTCGAATCGCTTGAGATCTATAGGGCAATTAAACAAGGAGTCGCTATTAACTTCAAGGAAACAGACATGCTTTCCACAGCATGGTGTGCCATTTTTTAACTAGATTCCAACAACAGAAACTTGCATTAAGGATAATTTAAATTATGGAGGATATTTATGTCATAATTTACGTAAAATTAATTGATTATTTATTCAGATAAACATATGAAAAATATTTGAAGCATAAGTTTTAACGCAACATATTTGAATTACGTAATCCAAACTTTTAAAAAGCATTTTATTTTATGAGCTGTTTGTTTGATATCATTTATACCTGAAGATGTCTATTTCACATAGACGAAAATGTTCATAGTAAGAATTTTTCTGTTTTGTTATGAACTGGTGATGGTTTATTTACTGAGTGGTATATTAATAGTAATTAATCCAATATTGTTTGCCTGTTTGATTTTGCACACATCTTTAACGACTAGACCAGGGGTGGCCAACAAGTTTTTGCCCGGGCCAAATTGGAAAGAAAACTTATTTCACAGGCTCAACCAGAGGCTGCCCTACGAAGATTTTGAGATGGTGCGAGTTCTCATTGTGGTGTCACCCCGTAGAGACTAAATTGTACATAGAGATTACAGATATGTTTTTCACATTATCATGCTTTATCAACATTCTATGCTGTACTTAAGAGATTTGTAATGGAGGGTTAACTCTAAACGCACAGTGAGTTGTTGACCATATTTTTAGGCATTAGAATTTTTCATCAAGCTATTCGAACTTGAATAGCTAATATTGAAAGATTAATCACAGGCCATATAAATTCATTCGATGGGCCATATGTTGGCCATGCCTGAGCTAGACTATAATTTAAGTATGAAATACAAGCAATTTAAACTACTGCACTGAGAGCAAACGATTAAAGTGTTTAATATTTAAAGCACTAATTAAGACTGATAGCAATAACTGATAACATTCTGTATATAATCAGCCATATATCAGGGCAAGTAGTAAGGGAGAAAAAAGCATTTTACCCATTTACCATTTACTGAAAGACAACAACTATAACTGAACTCTGATTAAATAAACAAAGTTTCTAACTTATACTTTCTGACATAATTACCTTATAACATTAAACAACTGTTAACAATAACCATGATTACAACAAGCAGATTCTGCTTTATATATATATTATACAGTATCTTAAGGATATATTATATGTTATAAAAAAAATTCAAGACATGATAAACATAATCAAAATTTGAAGTATTCCTTTTTTTATTTTTTTTAACCTTTAACAAAGTTTTATTTTAACTGTCAAAATACAGTAGACCCTCCCTAAAACACAGTAGATACGTTCCGTTTTATATGAATTCCATGTTTTACGAGTCACTTAAATACATGAGCCAATCACAGCCCGGCACGTGTGCAGTTTAGGGACTATGGCTGTTTTAAAGGTTTTCTTCCATAAAATTAATTGATTCTAGACTAATTTGACTCAACATTTCCAAAACACGTATAATTTTTTGAGAATAATCCATATAAACTATGCTAGAAACAAAAAATTGTAAGATTACTTATTGAGAGTGCACTGTTCCATTCAAGCTTAAGCAATGTGCAATGCCATTGCTTAAGCTTGTTTTTGATGTGTTTTCTGATAAGTTATTTTTCTGTGAAAAATTCACTGAACTTTGAAGACATCATTAATACAAATATAATTTTTATGGCCGTTAAATAATAAATGGTTTTTAGTAGGTCCGCTGCTCGTTTAAACTCAACGGTTTGTGCAATATCCGCTATTGGTCTAGATTCGACCAATCCTGTCGTGACACGAGTCGGCAATGACATTTTACTGTATTATACAAGTCTCTTTTAGCGTGTTTATATGAATACAATCACAATTTTTTCGCTGTGTTATACGAATCCATATTATATGAACCCATGTTATAGGGGAGGTCTACTGTATTGCATTGTATAGCTAGAATAAACAATGGCATATTTATTCATAATTTATGATAAATTAAATTATAAATAAATCTTGATAGTAAATGGCATGACACTTTCTGAAAAGTTTATGTTATAGAATAACTGTTAAACGCGATAAAGATTAAAAGTAGCAGCATTTCAAAATTGAAAATTGTAATATCAGACAAATGTTCATAGATATAATGTAAAAACTTGCACCACCCCTATTATCAATTATAATTTGAACAACATTAACACTATACATATATTATATACCTTTGATGATGATCATATCTATGTTTATCAGGATTATAACAGCCTCCAACATCTACCACAATATGACAATCTTTAAGAATATTTTCATCTCTAGTTCTGTAATAATATTTTTATTAAATCAATTATTAACATTTATTTCTTTTATTATTATTATTATTAAAATTGATACTTAATGAATAAAATATTTATCATTATGAAAATGAGGCTTCTATGTGTTTGTAGATCTATCAAGCAATTAAATTAGTCTGAAATTATTATAGTTCTACTGTAATGACAAATAAAGTATTATTTAAAATAGTTAAAATTCTTACTAAATGAAATAAAATAATACTTTACAAAAGTAACAAGAATCTTAAGAGAGTATATCTTATTGAAAAATAGAAAATTTTTACATTTACAAAGTTTAGGATTAGGAAAATTTTAAAAAATTCATAAGTTAAAATGAGAACAGCTTTAATTTGTTTAAAAATGATCTTGAGACATATTTTTATGATCATTCATGAAAAACATTTGTTTTCATTACAATTTCTTATTTTTTGCTGGTTATTAATATCTTCATGAGTTTATTTATACATAAAGCCAGTACAATAGTAGTAATTCATTATCATTCAAATAACTAATAGAAATACTTTTTGAATTCAGTTAAAATTTACTACTATTATAGTCATATTTGTGAGGATCACAAATATTAGTAAATTTCACTTTAACATTAAGTAACAGATCTGTTATCTATAAGTTATAGAGAATTAGACAGAGAACAGTTTCTCTTGGTTGACTAGCTTAACATAAAGGTCATATGCTGAAGGATTTATTGTTTACAAGGGAAGTACATTTGATAATTTAGTTAAACATGGCATCAAATGAGAGATAATTAAAAGCATTAGGTATCTTGTAGGAAAAGGAAACTGAGTGCTGCAGCATAATTTTTGTTTTGGTGTGACACAAAAACACAAATGTAGTGATAAGCTTCTAATATTCTGTCTAACAAGGGGACCTTACAGTCTCAGAAATTCAGTTTGGGATGAGACTTCACAGGTTAGTAGTATACCTCAAGGGTGTCCACCCAGAAGAACTGTAAAGTGCACTAGCCAGAAGATTTCAAGAAAAAGGACTCTAAAGTTTTAATTGCAGCTCATATACTGGTCGATTTTACACTATGGCAGCACAGCGAAATGGCTGAGTCTGTAGTGAACTTGCTTGCCATGCAGGCGATCTAGGTTCGATCCTACCTTTGGCTAACTTTTTTTTTTAATTGTTTTAAAAATTATAACAACTTTTAAATAAAGTTAATGACCTAAAAGTATTATCAATCAAATCATAAATAATTTTATTTTATTTATGAAATGACTGTTACAGATAATTAAAACGTGAATTAAAGATAATATTTTATTTTTAAAAAGTTGAATAATTTCAAATGCATTTTTAATGGAAATAAATTAAACTTTAATTACACTATAACAAATTTTTGGGTAGGGTTTTATTTATATAAAAAATTTTACAATATCGTCTTTATTTGTCAATTTTTTATTTTACATACAAGCACCAGAATGATAATTATCATAAAAACATTGAAAATAAAAACTATTTTGACATCTTGCACAATTTATGAAGGACAACCTTTTTTTAAAAAATCTGTTGGAAAACATACTTCGTTTACATTCATGAAAATTTCTCTTTCATCAGAAAGCCTGGAAGCGTACTAGGCATACCAGACCATTTTATTAAAAATTGGCGATGACAGTTGATGATGCACTACACAGGTCAACAGTGGTATTTGTGCCCAGGTATTTTGAGCTGATTTCATATGAATTTGATGTCCTGAATTCAAATATAGCATTAGTTTTTGCCTACGAGCTCTAATTTTTAAGATATAGCATTTTAGCGAACTATACGTTTCAATATCTTAATTAATTAAGTTAAATCCATGGATCAAGTAAAAAAACTAAACACAGAATTTTTATTATTATACTAGCTGCAAGGACCCGCTTCGCTGGGTTTTTAAAAAGTAACGATAGTGAAGATTAAGATAATTACATTAAAGCCAATCTTACCCATTTTCACAAAATGCAAGAATTAGGTCTCCCGTTTCCAGACGTTTCCAGAGAATTTTTACATGAGCATAAAAATATGTTCGATTTCCCACAAAAACGCAAAAAACCACCTGTAAATCTTGCATGCCACTTTATATTAACACTTTCTGGTCCCGATTCTATTTATGAACGTCTCCTGTTCACGTCCAGTCAAACGAACTATTTTCAACATTTCTGGAATGTTTACAATTGTTCTATAATCGAACCAATATTCGAATTTTATGTTCAAATTAAATTCGAACAAATTCGAACAACATTCGAAATAGAAAGCCACTTTCAACCACTTTCAAGCCCATATCTTCTGCA